AACTAACTGCTAGTAAAACGTAAATGAAATGTTACTTATCTCCTTTCAAATATGTCCACTTCTTATAAGTGTAAAATGTATAATGCTCCTTGATAAATTTCATATATTTTATTCTCAGACTTAATAATTATGTTAATTAAGTCATGTTTAATAATAATGCATCCTACTTACGGATTTTTTTTATTTTTAGGATGGTATTTGAAAAGTGAAGTTCAGGCATAGATAATATTTTTAACCCTCTGAGCGTTATGACATATAATACAGTACAAAGTCTTTAATCCGGAATGATCTATAATCTGGACCTCAAAGCTACAAACTTTATGCGCATGTGTAAACGCATTATGCGTTTATGCATGCGCATAAAGAGAAGAGATACTGTTTATAGAAGAGAGAATTAAAGAGAAAGTATTAGCAAAAAAAACAAAGCAACTTAAACAACTTACATTGAAAGAAATGTTTAATAAAGTAAACAAATAAATATTAAGCTTTTTTTTTTTTTTTTTTTTTTTTTTGTGTGTGTGTGTGTGTGTGTGTGTGTGTGTGTAAATTTTGATACCCTTTAGATCATAGTTGCTCTTTATTTCATAAATTATGGTTTCATATTTTTAATTGTATAATTTCTGCATGCCATCTTACCAGATTTAAACTGATGATCTATAATCCGGAATTGCCGAAGTCCCGACGAGTCCTGATTACGGACTTTGTACTGTAGCATATAATTTAAGATATTTTGCTTCTTACTTTTTTTCAATAATGTAAATGTAATATAAATTCTTAATGAATGTAAGTTTATGAAAATACAGACTAAAATAAGTAATTATACATACTTATGTGATAAATGCTGTTAAAATACTGATCTTCATGAAATATCTAAAATCCTGCGGTGCTCAGAGGGTTAGTTGAATTTATTCAGTTCCCATTTGCTCATAGGTCCTTATTTTTTTTTCTTTAATGGTCCTTAAAAGTGCTTAATTTCCGTGTGCAGAAATGTGTACGAACCCTGTTACTGATTTTGTAACCTTTTTCATGTTGTAACTTCTTAAATGATCTTTTGTTCTAAATTATAATCATTTGTTTATCTCCTTATACACTGCATATGTGTTAAGTTTCATCATAGTAGTTCAGTTCCTTTTGGGTGCACTTTTTTTTTTTTTTTTTTTTTTTTTTTTTTTTTTTTTTTTGTGTGTGTGTGTGTGTGTGTGACAGAATGTATTTCAAACTTAACTTGGTCAACGTGCAATATAAAGAAGACAAAATTTAGCAGAACTACGTATCTTTAGACACCAGCCTTATGATACATTGCCATCAGATTTTGGCAAACACTAGCTAGGCTTTAATAGCTGCAAATAATTTATAGTTCCTAGGCCAGAATTACATAAAATGTGAAGTACAAGTAGGATAAGCAACGTATGGCATAGATACAGCATTCGATGAATGACACAATCCACTGAGTAGTAAATGATGAGCCAACAGAGACCAGATGCTACCAGGTTTAACCAGCTGATAGCCAGGTTTGGAGGAATCAAGGTGCAAGTAAGCATTACAAATAAAGAGCGCTGCAAAATTAGTAGCAAATAGGTTTAAAAGAAACGCCAATATGCAAGACAGTTATTTCTAATATAATATCACAGTAAGGTAGCAGTAAAAAGATGCATAAGCAAAAAAGTTTCAAGAATGATATACTTGATTGTGAATACATAGTGGAACAGAATTAATACAAGTAATACATAATATTATCAGAATAACAAATATGAATAGGTGTAATACTTTTTATATCATTTAGCTATGCATGGTGTTTATATATATATATATATATATACACATTAATATATAGAAAATCAGAAAGACAGTTTAAATGCCTTGGGACCATAAGCGGTCTTTTCCCATTTTTAATTCCTTGTACGAAGTAAAAAGGAAGTATTGTAATCGCGAAAAGCTTCAGGCAGCATATTTCAACGAAAATATCCACTTTGACCGCTTTCAAATGCAATTTAACGATGTTTTTGCGTGATATCTGTACATAAGGACAGAATAAAAGACTCTTTTCCTCCAAAAAAACTAAAAAACTGCTTTAAAATGAATTCTGAAGAGAATTTTTCGTGGCGTCTGTACGTACGTATCTTGCATAACTAAAAAACGAGTAGCCTCAGAATGTTGAAATTTTGTATATAAGACTACTATAACATGTAGATGTGCACCTCATATTTTCGTTTCAATCGGCCATGCCAAACGTATATAAATATATCCACTCTGTTACCCGGCTCAGTAATCTCAGTTTCTTTACTCTTACATGTTTGTAAATTGTACATTTTTTGCTTTAAAAATGATTAAATTATGTTGTTTTTATGCTCCTGTTAAGGGTTTTATGCCTTAACAGGTAAAACTTAGTAAATCGGTATTATTTTTAGAATTATCAACAATTTTAAAATTGTTTAAGTTCCGCTAAGCCTAATTTGATGGTGGCCATTGCTCTTGCTTACATTTGAAACAGCTGAGTAGCGGATTTGTTGCCAATCTAGAGAAACTTAGCTTCACAACAACAAAAATAATGCCTTCATTTATTATTTAAATCATGCTTAATCATTTCTGGAATTTTTTCGAGGAAATAAGTGTTTAAGATTTACTTTGTAATTTTTAATACACATATTTTGAGTTTTTATGTATTTTTGCCTTGTCGCGAAGTGAAAACTGAATTAATTGAATGAGAAAATACTCAATCGTCTGTGTGAAAAACTGTTTCTTTTTTTTGTTTTGTTTGCTTAATTTCTTTTATACATAGTTCTAGCTTTATTATAATATTTGAATAGAACATGTGGCACGATTAGATATTATAATTTTTTTAAATGATATAAATTTTGTGCATTCTGAGTTATAATATGAAGGAAATATAATACTGTTAAGTAAACCTAGCGCCAGAGTGTTGCTATGGTAAACAAAGTTAATTTTAAAGAATGCATTTATTCTATTGTGGTTTATGCGCTGTCGGCGAAATAGGTTTAATTCAATTTAATAAGTTTAAATAAAATGCAAGAAAAAATGCGTATAATTTAATATTCCGTACAAGGAAGTCATGTGGTGTACACATCAGATTTTTTTAGAACTGTAGTCATAATTCAATACAGGAATGGTATTGTTTTGTACCAATAGGATTTTGCAAAAGAATTTTTGGGTAACAAAGCCATATAGCACAGAATTTCTGGAATTTTGAATTTGTGATGGATTGCCGAGTTCCTAATAAACAGCAACTCACTGCCGGTCAGAGCATAACATTTTGTAGAATTTGTGACTTATTCAAGGAAGTTTTTCAAGCTTACTCCCAGACAGGCAGGCATAGGTAAGTATGGAATACATCATGGTCTTATAAATCAGTATTTTATGATCAATGGAAAGAATGCAGTTCCGAGCAATTCGAGGCGCAAGTGTATATTTATGCACTCTGAACTTGGCTAAGAGCTGTGTAATGTTTGAGGACCATGTGAGACAGTGATCAAGAGTAACTCCAAGGTAACAGGCCTTCTTGGTCCATAGGATTGGTGTATCATACATATTTAAGTGGGTGTTTGCATCTATTGTTGTGTTTTCTGGTGAATATATAGTATGGTGTCGGACTTCCTGGCAGAGATGATCGTGAGGTCAGTGGAGCTACTGTAATAGCTAGGTCTTCAAGAGCTAACAGCTGTGGCAATAAGGTGTGATAATGGATGATGGAGGGCTTAATTAAGACAATTAGACCCCTTTTGGGCATTGACCGTAATGCCATTAGTGAGACCCAATGTTTTACGAGGGTTTTCGTAGTGCAGGGTAAAATTCTTGAGTAAGACAAGCAGTCTAAAATTCCTTCTGCCAGTTCTTACTGAGTTACTTTGTCAGTAGCACACTGCTGGCTACCGGTTTTCTTTGGAGATATGTAGCAAATTGCTCATGATAGTGAAAATGGAAAATGCTGTTGGCAGAGCCAATTCTGGTATCTCAATGGAGAGATAATAACATTCTTAGCAGAACAAGCAGAAAAGAAAAAAAAATGTTCTTAGAAAGTTGAAAAACACGAGATAAGAAATCTTTTTCTCTAAGCTAAAGAACATACTTTGGAGTTGGGCACCTGCTCCTTGTTCAGGATTTTCTGGACATGTCAAGCCGATTCTCATTTACTCAAAATTTTCAGAGGATCTTTCAATCAGCAAATGCACCTGCTATAATGTTAACAGGACAGGGAAAAAATTGTTGAAAATTTCCAGACTCTGACTTGAAATATGATTTGGAGGTCTAAATCTACAGGGAGGTTCAATGACAGGCAGTCAATGCACAACAACACGTACAACTACATACATAGGAACTTTGTGAGAGAGATTAGCGACAGCTGATGGTGCTTCAGGTATTCTAAAATTTCCAGTTAAGGTTAAAAGTAAGTTATTTAGTAGTTAATTCAACATATTGTCATTACATGGAATAAATGTCAATCAAAAATTTAGTATTTAGCTATCAGTGCATTTAAATTACAGAATGTAAACAGTATAAATTTCTTGCACTTACCAATAGACTTTACATAGAAAACATGTTTTTTTTTTGTGTGTGTGTGTGTTATTATCATAATTGTTTGTGTATGTTTAAGTAAATATTCAGTACATGAAATTTATTATTATTTATTTGTGTTTTGCTTTGTTTAAAATGGTTTTAAATTTCATTAAAAAATATTCTGCTCCATCAGATGCTTTCAGCTGGAGCATTTGGCCTGCATGCAGTTTGAGTTTGAGACCACTGTATTTAGAGATGTTTTAATACTTATGGCTAGTTAGCGTATATTAAGATTCTCTAATTCCTTGAGCTTAGGCTGTGCCACAGGTATATTAAATATTTTCCTTTTAGGTCAAGAAACATCTGAAATGAAAATTAAATAAATGTATTTGAAAAATTATTTAAATTTATAACATTTTCCTTGAAATGAAGTATAATCCAAATAACCTTTATGAGAAAATATATTAAAAGTATTTTTTCTTTTATAGCAAGGAACATATCTGAAATAAAAAATAAGCAAAAGCGTCTGGAAGAGTATTTAAAATTAAAAAAAGAAAAACAGAAATTAAAAAAAGAAAAGAAGAAAAGAATTAGGAAAGCTATTGCTGCTGGAGAAGATGTTCCTAAGCAAGTACCAAGAACTCTGGAAAATACCAGAGAGCCAGATGAAACTATGGTGGAGGTTGATGATCAAGAAGTTATCTTGGATCAAAGTATTGATGAATTTGCTTCTCATAACAATCGAGAAGTTCCACCAAAAGTTTTGGTTACTTGCAGTGAGAATCCTCATACCTGGACTATTCGTTTCTGCCGCGAACTCAAACTTCTCATTCAAGATTCTATATTTCTGTATCGGAAACATGCTAGTATAAAGAAACTAGTTAAGGAAGCAAGTTCACGGGGCTTTACTAACATAGTTATTGTTACTGAAGATCGAAGACACCCCACTGGTATGCTGGTAATTCATCTACCTGAAGGTCCTACAGCATTTTTTAGAATAAGTAATGTTAAATACTGCAAGAAAATCAAGCATCGAGCTGAGTGCACGTCTCACAGACCAGAAATTATATTGAATAATTTTCGTACTAGGCTGGGGCTTACAATTGGCCGTTTATTTTCATCTCTTTTTCAACATGATCCTGAATTTCATGGGCGAAGAGTGGTAACCTTTCACAACCAACGAGATTATATATTTGTCCGGCACCATAGATATGAGTTTAAAAATGAATCGAGAGTAGCTTTGCAAGAAATTGGACCTCGTTTTACTCTCAGATTACGTAGTCTTCAAAAAAATACTTTTGACACAAAATTTGGCGAATATGAATGGATTTTAAAACGGCATGAAATGGAAACTAGTAGAAGACGTTTCTTTTTGTGAAATTTTTAATAAGAATAAAATATATAAATATGTATGCATATTTTAGTTTTGTGTTTATGTACAAAAATTCTGCACAATAATTATGATCAGTTTTTATAAAATTTCTATAAAAGTATATAAAATTTTCAGCCACCTGAATGCCATTCACAAGAGATGTGGTTTTAAATTTCTTTCTCCTAGTGTAAAATTATATTTTTAACCGTTTGAGTCTGGCGCGCGCTTCACTTGTCGTATGCCAAAAATACGGTGCAGCGCGATAACACTTCTCTTGTTTTGTATCGAGAATGCGAAAACACTGCTGTTGGTTAGTATACTTGAAAAAAAATTATTGAAATATTCATTTGGTTTTGCATCAGGAAGAGGGGCATGCTTTGGTCCAGGTACTTCAGAAAAAGTATCCGATTTGTTCGAGTAAAATTGTATCCACGGATAAAAACTCATCAATAATATCGTCATCGGAGGTACCGTAATTTCGCACGTATAGTCCGCAGGCACGATTTTATATTAAAAAATTTCAAAAATCGTCAGATAGTCCGCACCACCGGATAGTCCGCGGACTATACGTCCGAAATAACGTTTTTTTAATATGGCAATATTCCCATGCCTTTTAAACACATCCTTTTGTTTGCGCCAATTTCTCACCGCTTTCTCGTCCACTTCAAAATAACGGGGTAAAATCCTAGTATATGGTGCAGTCTTGGTGCGACTTTGAAAATTATCGCCAACACCAAAAATGATCCAAAGAACGCCTATATATATAGTATACACACATAGTATATATACTATATACATAGTATATACTATGTTTAACTATATATTTTCTTTGAATGACCCGTTAACTACTCATCGTATATGTCCCGTTTTCACTGCTCATCATAAAGTCGCCAAAAGTAGCCAAATCCCGTGTGCACCGAATACTAATATTAAACCATAACGGAAACGGCCCGCTTCTCTATTTCACTCTTATTCAGCTTTTCTCAACTACTTGAGTTTAACTCAGCAGTAAAAACTTCGGCGATGTTTCACATCAACATTATTGAAGATGAAAGGCAAAATTCTGTGCAACGTGCTATACCTCGTGATAAGTGGTAACGAAATGTGACCTTCGACCCCACTCACTCGGTGTTGCCGAAAGCACGCTCTAAGTAAACGAATCGCGCTTTTTTTTCGTACTCCAGGTACTTGCTACTAAGGCTCCTAAAACGCATATAAACGCCTCCTTGACGCATCAACTACTTTCCCCCCCTCCTGGCAATTGCACTAAAGCAGTGCGAAGGGTACTAGGGATACAAGACTCTGGTTGCGCTAAGTGAGTGCTCACAACAAGACTTTTTTTGGCTCATATCCCGGCATCGCTTGATGCGTCGAGCCTGGATTTTAGGAGCTCTACTTGCTACTACTCATTCGTTCTGTACTATGCTCTATGGTTTACTATCGATACGAATACATACGAAAGTTTTCTTGGAATCTTGCGCTTTTTTTATACTTTGATCATCGCAGTTCACGACAGCGTGTTTTTTAAATTTCAACGATTTTAACCGTGAACAACCAGCGTATTATCCGCACTGGTGGATAGTCCGCAGCTTCAAAAATTCGCATTTTAAACACAGATAGTCCGCGGACTATACGCGCGAAATTACGGTACTTGCAGTTACTTTATCATCATCACTGCTATCACTAATAACTTGCAATCTCTTAGAACGAATGATGATGTACCTTCCACTATCACTTTCAAGGTCATTACTATACTCTTCATTATCACTTCTCATAACACAGTCACTTTCAAATGAATCAGAACTTGACATGGGTTATTTCGTAATTATCAGTATAACACTTGGTAAAAAATGAAAACAATTTCCAATCGTATAAAACAACTGCTACTGATATCACTACAACTCAATAATTGCGTAAAGTATACTAACCAACAGCAGCGTCAATAATTGCGTAAAGTATACTAACCAACAGCAGCGTCAATAATTGCGTAGAGTATACTAACCAACAGCAGCGTCTTCGCATTCTCGATACAAAACGAGAAGTGCTATCACGCTGTGCCGTATTTTTGGCATACGACAAGTGAAGCCCGATAGCGCTTTGCCGGACTCAAACGGTTAACTTGGATTAATTATCATATTCAAAAATGTTTCATATGTTAATAATTTTATATTATATATTGATACAGATATTTTTCGTAATCTTGATATGGAAGTGTTTCTCCTTCTATGTAAACTGCTGTAATTCATTAGAAAATTTGATTTTATATTCAGATTGTTAAATGTATTGATATTTTTCATTTTTCTATTCTAAGCTTTTTTCCTCACTTTAATTTTAATTTAGACTTTCTAGCCCACCAATGGATGAGTAATCACTGAACACTGGTTGTTCGATTCCAGGTGAATGGATTGGCATGGGCTTTTAAGTGGTTTTCTCTGTATATAATGTGGATAGGAACCAATTTTCCTTAGAAACAGCTCCACAAAGACACCCCCTTAACTAGACAGCCCTGGCATATTTTGCTGTAGTTAAATAACACAAGCCGAGTTAATTCAAAAATTTTCGCCCTCAGGGGCTCACTTTTGTGAGTACGGGTGTGGCAATCCCGAGGTACCCTAGCCCTTCAGGGGATCATCTTCTTGGTGAGACGGGTGTCACGATCCTGGAGCCCCAGTGATCTATCCTCTTTTCCGTCTCCTCTCCTCCTGGCTTGGAACTTTTTCCCTTCCCTTCTCCCTTGTGGTTTCATCTCTACGGAGTTTGGGGCTCGTCACGAGAGGCTGGAACAGACCTTGTTTCTAGTTTTCGAGTGGCGAGAAAACTGCCCACGTGTTTGCCGTGCGTGGAGACCCGTGTCGCTGGAAAGGAGGGTCCTGGTAGTTGAGGGGCGAGGTACTGTCCCCAACACACTACTTTGGCCTCTGCTTCAGCTAAACGGGAGGCACCTTAGTCGTCCTCACGGGTGTCAATCGGCTGGTCACTAGTCCTTGTGTCAGTGGCTTGGGGTCAAGCTCTCGGGAGTACCTGCTTTCGGGAAAGCCGACTGTGGGGCTTCAGTTTGCGTATAGGTCCGGCTAGCCCTAACAACAGGAATCTGTGTTCCCTTTGTTGGGCTCCGGTGGTGGGGCGGGTCCGTCGGACCCGAATTTTTTCTCTTTCAAACGTGGCTTCAATTTTCATACTTTAAAAAACCTGATTCCAAACGAAACTAAACAAGATATAGAAATAATTGAGAAACCTATTAGTAAGAAAATCCCGTACTGATGTAAATGCAAAGGAAACTACTGAAAATCCGCGCTTCCTAGTTGTCTCTAGTTCCTTCTGGTGAACTGCAAAAGATGTATCCTTTTCTAGTAAGCAAATACATTAACTCATGCATAGGTGACCCAAAGAATATTAAGCGTCTCCGTTCTGGATACCTGCTTATAGATACTGTTTCGCCAACACCAGTCTGCTTCACTTTTGGGTCACAACCAAACTTGGACAATGTAGCCTATAACTGTGTCAGCGCATAAAACTCTGAATTTTTGTAGAGGTGTTATCTCGGAAATCGACCTTCTCTCTGTTTCAGAAGAAGAGTTCGTTTCCGAGTTAGCTGACCAAAAATGTCTGTGGCGCTAGGCGGATCAAGATGCGTAAGGAAGGTCAGTTGATTGACACCAAACACGTGATCCTGACCTTCAAATCGCCTGATCTGCCTAAGAATATTAAGGCTGGATACCTCAATTGTCCTGTACGTCCATACATTCCAAACCCTATGCGATGTTTCTAGTGCCAGCGTTTTGGCCATTCCAAGATGTCCTGTCGTGGGACCCTGACGTGCGCTCGATGCTCGTCGGTTGGCCACGATAGCGAAAATTGCACCGCTGCAGCACTGTGTATAAATTGCAAGGGCAACCATCCAGCATTTTCTCTCGTTCCTGTCCGAAATGGAAATTAGAAAAGGATGTGCAGACCATAAAAGTTACCAGGAACATTTCGTATTATTCCGAAAGCCAGAAGACAAGTTCAAAGCACACAGCCTATATCGAACAAATCATATGCCAATGCCGTGAAATCAACCCGCACAATAGCCACCCAAACTTCCATAAGTACACAGACTCCACCAAATAAAAACCAGCAGCCTGCAAGCAAGAACAAAGAAAATCCAACACATACCATACAAAATAAAGAAATAGCAAACCCAAAACTGTGCCTCCAATAATAGAAACCAAAAATAGAAGTCCCAGCAATAGTTCTGCAAATAAAATTATTTCTGAATCTGCAGATTCAGACAGTATGGAAGTGGAAGACGGTCTAGAAGTTCCCGATCATCTGCTTCCGCGCAAAACTAAAAAGGAACACAGGAACAACAAACATCAATCATAATGGCCACCCTCGTCTCATGGAACTGTCGCGGTTTCCACCGAAATTTGCTCGACATCAAAGCCATAATCAATGCTTATCATCCTGTATGCTTCGCAATACAGGAAACAAATCTAAAACCAGAACAACAGGCAAAACTTCGGAGGTTTTTCTTTCGTCAGGAAAGATAACATTGCAGGTGAACGTGCCAGTGGAGGTGTAGGTCTCCTCACCTCACTGGATTATCCCTCAAATGTGCTTTCTTTGACGACATCCCTCCAAGTTGTCGCTACTCAAACAAATTTTGATATTGTTGTTACAGTCGTTTCTCTGTATTTGCCTCCAAATGAGCATATTGATCAGCAAGATTTAAATGGTCTTTTAGAGCAGCTGCCTGAGCCTTTCATCATAATAGGAGATTTTAACGGCCATAGTCCGCTCTGGGGTAGTAAAGATACAAATTGCCGAGGGAGACAAATTGAGCAGATGATCGAAGATCATAGCCTTTGTCTCCTGAATAATGGGCAGGATACTTACTTCCATGAGCCTACAAAGACATTCCATGCTCTCGACCTTGCCATCTGTTCACCATCTCTGTTGCCATTTTGCACTTTTAGTGTCGGAAATGACCTGTACAACAGCGATCATTATCCTATTTTTGTGTCTCTTGCACGAAGAGAAGCAAATCCCATGACGAGACTCC